AATGCTTGCATATTTCTTTTTTTATATGAATCGCATTACTCAGGAAATGGATATGCTCAGTCTCTTCATGATTACTTATCTCAAAATTATCTTCTGATTTTAATCAAAGAGATTAAAAATAAACAAGAGGAATTTTCCGTATGCAGCAACGTTAAGTATTTTTTAAAAAGCTTAATGAGGAGTCTCTCTCTCTCTCTCACCCTTGCGTGCTCGTTTTTTTCTCTTATCAATTGTTTAATCTAAAATTTAGTGTAATATAATTTTATGTGTAGTGAAAATAATTTTATTACATAACATTAAAAAAAAATACAATAACTATACAGTAATCGCAAAAATACAATAATATCTACTTATATGTATCTCATAAAATTTTTTCTGGGCAAAATATGTTTATTCAACATATTCTGTTTTTGTTTTTTGTAAATTTATTTATTGATTTAGCCAGAAGATTTTATCATATCAAATATAGATTAAAATGTAAGCAATGATTTTTTTTAGAGTTATAATTTGGATACTACTTTGCAATTCAATGAATGGTTATGCGTATTACAAGCTAGTTATACATATATGCATACTAATTTTAACGAAGAAACTTTTTACTGCATCTCTACATCCTTTAAGTGCTCATAATAATTTCCTGTCTGAATGACCTGTACGCCGAAGATAAGGTACTAGTTGTAAATAACATCGTCACGAATCATTGGAGATTTCTGTTTGCTAGTTACCAGATTATAAATCATTAACTGTTGTTTTCTTGCTGTATTATTTGCATAGTATTCTTTATGTTGTATAGCAAAGTTCTCTCATTATATTATATAATTAAATATATTATTATGTGATTATATCTAACTATTATAAAACTCTAACATATAGTTTGTTAAATATAATCTTTATGTATTATATAATTATGAATGTAATTGTATATTTTTATATAATTATAAATTTGTAAAAGAGCTTAAGAATTATCTACTTACTGTAAGAAATTCTGGAATTTCTTTCTTTTTAATACAATTCTGGAATTCTTTTAATTTTTGAAACGTATATTGTAAAACAACTTGTGAATTTAGTGAATTAAAAGTCATTCAATAAAAGTAACATATTTTTATTTATATTCTTTTCGAGAAATTCATATGTGTCGGTAAGAAATTTTTAAATAAAAAAGTTAAAATCCGTTGTTTGTATAATAGAATCACAGAAATTTTTTCAAAAATTTTTCTTGTAAAATAAAATTATTAAGGAATCTCAAGAATTTAACGAATCATAATATAATACGATTTCAAGATCTCTTAATTTTTACAGCTAGAGCTGCAGAATTAAATAAATGTAGAATAAAGATCGTGATGAAAGTTGGTTTGAAATTCTTATATAAAATGGCGCAGTATATCCTGCCAGTCGGTTGAATATTATTTCGCGTACCAAGTAGAGATCCTGATGAAAACGCTGTCAGACCAGTTTAATGTGTATCTTCGCCGACCTAATGCTGCGCAGGTAAAAGTAAGTAGGGTAGTGTGTGAGGGAGAATAGTAGATTAACACATACCATGTTGCAATACCAGTTTATATTCTACCTGTACCACATATGTACTACGTACATATGTGAATCGTTCTTTTCAGGTATTCAAAATTTAACATTGAGCAAATGGGAATTTAGGGAACTGACCTTCTCTTTAAGAAAACCTTTCTTATATCACTTTTTCTTTCATTTGAATATTTATTTTTCTTTGTACTTTTATAAATTAAAACTGCAGGTATGAACCTGCACGGAATAAACAGATTTTCCAACCACATTCAAACGTATCTAAAGAACATAGAAATGATTTGAATATTTGGGAATAGAATACAAAAAGGTATTTTTTCAGTCTTATTCATTTATATATCATTTGTTTTACATTTGTTTATCGCTTAGAACAGAATATCTTAAAAATATATAGAATCTCTTACGAAATCCTATTTTTTATTTCTTTGCAAAGAACATTTTATTAATGTTTTATAGTGTTTATCATAAATATCTAAATCTTACTAAAAAATATTTTGTACATGAAATGTATGTAGAATAAACAAAAGTGATAATTAAATATATAATAAATTACTTCAATCGATTGTTTGAAAAGTTTTTAATTTTAATCGATTGACGGATAATTGCACAAAATAAAATTCTAAATTTAATTCATTTTGCATTATAATTATAATAAAGATGAATTTAATAAAATACTACTTAATTATAATATGTAATTTCATAAAAGTAAGATTTTCTATTGATAAATGATAAAAGGATAAAAAGTATCAAGAATAAACGCAAACAGTATACATAATGGCGTTCGTTTCCGCGTGAAAATACATTGCTGTTTGGCATGCAGCGTTGTTGGCGTTTATGATTCGTTAAGGAAACCGATTGTGTCAATGTTGACAAGTTTACTGCGATCTTTCTGACGGGCAATGTACGCGCAACGGCAAACGTAGCTTCGTTGGTAGGTCATTGCGCTGTAGTGCGATCATTTCCTTAGTAATTTATAGGTATTTACGTATGAACATTATGTAGCGGCAATGATCCTTTCGTTCGTTCGCGTACTTCTCCGTGTATTTTCGCAATCTTGATATTCATTACATTACGCAGCAAATATCCGATATTCTGATGAAATTCGATCGTCTAAAATTGCGTCAATAGCGATGGTAAGACGAATTCCTCTTATCAAGTTCTAAATAGACATTTTATCATAGGATACATCTCGACCAATTGCCTTCTACTGATTTTCTCACGGACCAAGAATATGATTGCCTAATATTAAGGATGAAACATCTTCGATTATTAATAGAAGAATAATAATAGTGGTAAGGCAATCTGAGTGTTGTATCGAACGCGTTACGACACTTCATTAAGATAATTCAAACAGATACAGAATTTCATGTTCGAAAATGCTTTCAACCGTTTATTATTTTGTGATAAAGAAGAAATTTTTTTGTGATAAAGAAGTCAAAGACCTTGCCAATTAAAGAAACTTGCATATTTGACTGTCAAAGTTGATTTCCTTATTTTCTTTTTAACACAATTATCTTGCATATTTAGAATACGTTGCACATTTAGGATTACTTCTCAGAGACTCTTTGAGCCGACATGTCGTTCTATCTTTGTTATTCATTGAATGTCAAGAAAGATAGAATTGTGCTTGTGTCGATTTGTGTCAACAAATAGAAAGTACTCTACATCTACTATTAGCATTTTCCACTGGGAAAACTAGTGCAACACCTGTGCAAATCGGTTTACATATTTTCAATGTTAATACATAATTTAATCCTTTTAAAATTATGAGGTTGATGACAATGAAGAATCTGTAATTAAAAGGATTAAATTAATTATTAACATTGAAAATATATGAATTTATTTGCATTCAATTACACTCTGTGTGTGCATCAGTATTGCGCTAGTTTTCTCGTGGAAAATATTATATATCGATTTCCTAGTATTCATTCACAATGCATATTTTAAAAACAATAGTATATATTTTAATGATCCTTTAGTTACATAATAAAATCAAAAGTCGCGACTGTCTATGCTATCAAACGATAAATTGTCCGAGTCATTCGCAATACGTCTATCAAACCTCGTTCAGACTTGTTGTCCAATTAACTTTTTTAATATTGATTTTTTTGTATAGATTTTTCATACGCAGTTGGTGTGATGATACAGTTGACTATTTGCTTTGTGAATTTATCGTTATATGTTATAATTGTACAATTTTCAAAAACTTATTTTACATTATTCTTTTACAACAAGTTTAGTGAAATATTTATTTGAAGAATTAAAATGTGAAGATTATCATCAAAACATTCTGAAATCTTGCTGACCTATTAAATAACCTACTAGAGTTGTATTAGTAGTTGTATTAGAATCCTCTGATTTCGAGGTCGCTTGGGCCGTATTATATTCCTAGCGGCACACTAATGTTGCAACTAAGACGCTTAGGGGAAACAAAATGGATTTTGAAGGGCGGTGTGGAACCAGGGAAGAACGCGCGAGGCGATGGCCGAAAGGCAATGGAAGAGAGTAAAAGTCTTGAGGGCTGGCTTACGATCGTTTCTTGCTAGAAACACATGAATAATGCAACAATTGGAACGACGATGAGCCTTTGTTTTCGCAGGCCCTTCGTTATAGGCCGCCAAATTGCTCGCAAGCTATTCGCATCGTCGGCTAGTCACCAACCAATTTCAGGCACAGACAGTGCCTATCTTTCTTGCACTATCACGAATCTGCCTTCCTCGTGCATACAGAAACCCAGCAAATAATTAACAATTATGGGTGGAGCATACTAGCCTGCGTCGCAGCTGCACTTTGCACGCAGAAGGCTGTCAAGTGGATAGATATCCCTTTCCAGGAAACAAGCTGCATTGGTAAATTAGGGCATGAAGGCTCTGTGATTAATTGTTGATGGCCTTCCATTTTCACTTCTTTTTTACTGCTAACTGCCAAATTGCTGAATTTTTTTGAGGTGATAGAAAAGATCACTTCATGGTCCATACATAATATTTTTTTGCAATAATCATTATACTTAAATCTTACATTGAGAGAAAAATTTTTAGTTTTTGTAACTACAATTATATATTATCATTATGATTATTACTGCTATAATATTAGTAATAATAATCATAATTACGGTAACATATAAGTATACATATAGTTGTAAATACAAAAAATTCTCTTAGTGTAATTTGATATAAAATTTTTTTAATATAAACACAGGAAGAGCATGTGCTAATAAAGGCACAATTATTAATTATTAATGTAAAACTCTGACAAATGTGCTTATATTGTTATCGCATGTATGTTTGTACGTAATCATAAAAAACAAAAATTAGTTTATAATTTATTGTTTATCATTGTATACTAATGTATACATAATAAATGCATCTGTGTAATTTATTTCACAAACCATGTTCTCCGGAGTTCTCCGGAATATTCTCAATCAGTGATCGTTAACAACAGACACTCTGTCGCGCGCGTTTCAGATATCGGTGCCAGATTGAAACCACCAACGAGGCATCCCAATCTCGGTCGCAATTAAGGCCGAATGGCTGCTTGTCAAGATTCGTGGACTTTTCCCGAGAGAAAAATACTGTGTGAGGTTCGTAAACGAATAAATGTATTTTAACGTACGTAAGTGTATATCTGTTAAAAAAAACACATTTGCATAGCAATAAGAAGAAGATGCAGACAATAAACGCGCACATATTGATAGAATAAGATGCCGACACGATGATGTCCTCTAATCGATTATGGGTCAAATATTTTCATGTATAACCCCCGTACCGCATCTTAGCGGGATATTGGCATAGGTCAAGACAAGAGCGGACTCGCCCCTTCGAGCTGTTCAGATGGCAGATTGCACTCGCAAGCTCGCCCCGTGTTCGACCCACACAGAGTCTACCTCGAAAACCGGTAACCAAGTTCTCATCGGAATTAATGGAATTCGGCCAAATGCCGACGAATCGAATTTGATTCCTTCGACCCCGATTATCGTTCGGTTCCCTCCCAGTGCAGTTGCTTTCCTAATTATTAGTCTAGCACGTAGACCGCCTCACTGCCTTTTCCATCATCCATCTTACAAATAGCATTATATTTTTATATATACACACAAATCCTAGTCTATGTGTCGAAAATCTCGTTGAAAATTCAAATCAATTTTTTTTCTAAAATAAAAAAAATAGAAATAGTCTTTATCACGAATTCATTATTACGAATTATCTAAAATTACTTCTATAAAAATATGAATTTATGAAAATTATTTGCGTTGCCCAGTGATTAATAATTAATTCACTATATTAACATAAACTGATGACTCATTCTTTTTACGAATCTAGTTCTTTTCTACTGTTACGCATATAATTTTGATCAAAAATATTATGCAGTTATATTTTTTTCATTTATTTGGACTTCTTTTATCCTTATTGGTTATCGACATTTACACATAAATTAAAGGATTTTTGAAACAAAGATAATTTACAATAAATACCAAATTAATTTTTTAGCTAAAATTTTAAATATTTAATAAGGTATCTAATATTTTCGACTAAAAAGTCTCAGACAGCACGCGACATCTATTGGACGTCTAATGGACGTCGAGTGCTATCTTGGATTGTACATCTGTAACGATAAAAAATCATTTTATATCGTTCTAGTAGTAGAAAGTCGCTAAATTACAAGGAACGTACGTAGCTTCTAGTTAATAAGTGGAAGATTTTTAAAAAATTATTATTGCTTAAAAGAATTATTATTATTACTAATTAATTCCACAAATCGATGATATTTACAGCCATTTATTTAAAATTGCTAAAGTTGCTAAAAAAAAGACTCAATAAGAAAAATTATTAAAAATTATGTTTTATTTCATATAGGATAAGCAAATATCCATTACATTGCTTTATGCAAAATTTAGACGGCTACAATTTTACGGGCAAATCAATTTTACCTTAAAAGATAAATAGCTCGTCCACGCCACGAAAATCGATAAAATAGATAAACCTGCACGACATTATGAAATCTATCATAAATCTCAAACTTTTTCGAATATACTGTGGTGTTATACAGAGCAATATCACGAATTGGAAAACGAAGAAATTATAACAAAAATAAGAAATACTAAGAAAAAAATTGTTAATATTTGTAATTATAATCATATAATTTGATATTTATAATTATAATATTACTATAATTATCATTATTCCTGCTATAATATTGTAATAACTATTATATTATATGTACATTTCTATTAACAAACCTGTATAGTTGGAAACTAAAATGACTACAGTTATCATTATTATTATTGTAAAAAATATTTACAATTACTATAAATTATAATTAAATCACACAGATTTTAACTATTTTTATGATAATAATATAATAATAATTATTATAGTCATCTTCGGGATTATCAATTACATATATGCATTTGTTGATTACATAGTAATATACATAGTTATTATTAATATTATAGTAGCAATAATTATAGTAACATGTAATTATAGTTACAAATATCAAAGATTTTTCTCTTAGTAAAGAGACATTAAGAATAAAGATCTCAGTGTTTCTAGCTAATAAGGAATTTATGGTCCTTATTACCGGTATAGTTTTCTACGAATTAATGTTGATTACCGTCCTGGGCGCGCGTCGCGCGATAAAAACTTAGAAAACGAGATAACCCGATACGTGCAGAAACCGATTAAACGAATTCATGAATAATTTAAGAACGTTTCACGACACACCTGCCCCCGTTCCTTGCCTCTTCTTCTTAATCCCTTTACTCAGGCTACGTGACAGTTTTGGAGTCGTTCGCACCGATCTCGTAATGTATTCATTTGGACAGAGCTGACAACGTTGATGTTGAAAGTCAGATGAAATGATGGAAGCGTGTGATGAGGGTGCTTCGGTCTCAGATATCATAGTCTTATAAAAAAAAGATTACATTAAAGTAATATTCGAATGGACAACAGGATAAACCGAAACTAAATCTTCATTCCTTAGTTAAAGTACTTGTCATTTTTTAATTTCGAGATTAAAGACAGAGGAATATACATATATGTATACATATATATATATATATATATATATATACTCTTTGAAAATAATACACCTTTTATAACATATCTTAATGAATTATACAAATACTCCAATTATATATTTTTATACATCCATACATTTTATGTGTATATAAAAATCAGAATTGAGAGTTCACATACAGTGCGTATCTTCAATTGCGTTGTATTTTATTATACATATTCTTAAGGCTATTTATTTTTAGCTGATAATAAAATATTCCCGTCTTTAGCTTTCCATGAGCCATAATAAAAATTAGGTACAAGGTATGTTAGATGCGAAACTTAATCGAATTTCAAAATTTTGAAAAAACCGTGACTTGTCTTTAGGCTCCCTTCAGCGACGGCAACGACGTCGTATTGAATACCTTGCTAGTAAAATGCGTGCAGAAATTAAACGAAAGTCGTAAAAACAGGCGGCCGCACCTTCGTATGGCCGCAAAATCGTCTCATAAGTTCCGTTCCGTTTACACGCAACATGATGTACGGAAGAGAGATTTAACGTTTTATGGACATCTTCGCAGGTGATTTACGCGATATCGGCTGGTCTACAAGGACACCTGCGGGATATCATATGATTTTACGGGAAGGAACTTTACTGGCCTGATCTTTTTGATTTTTGTACAATATTGAACAATTTTGAAACATTGGTATTATATTAATTTTAGTATTATCAGTAAATTATACTATTATATAAGAGGAAGCGCAGATAAAACTTAACCTTCAAAATTATTGCCAAACTCGATATACAATAAATTCTGTTATCACTCGAGATGTTACTCACACAGCAGAAATATCCCGAATATATCATATCCTATATCCGAATATATCATACACAGACTTTGTGATATTTTTAGGCTATATTTATCATGTAATTTCGACATTTCTTTGTTGTGTGTTGTGTGTATTTTGTGCTGACAGGGATATAATCATACTTGCCAAAACTTGTCAGTAAAAATAAATAAACTTTGAAGAACGTAAAAGTTTTCATCGATTAATGATTACGATTTTATAATATCGTTTACAGATTAATTCAGGAAAGCATTAAACTGTTCATATAAAATTTTAACTAATTTTTATAAGGAAATTTCAAAAAACGGAAATATAACTATCTTTACTAATCTTTTTTTTTTATTTTGAGATTTGAAACTGATTGAAATTTTCTTTATATTATTCAGAGCAAGTTTTGAATTTCTAAATTTTTCCAGTGCTCGATGCTACCTTAGCTTCACTTGAAGTATGAAGGCAGTTTTGAAGATTTTTTTCAAATATTTGTTGTTTATTGATGGAAACGGTTTTAATGTCAAAAAGGCCAAAAATCTTATACATAGACAATAGTTTTGTTAAAGATACAGCTAGGCTATAAAGAGAACTGTACAAACTGGCAGAAATTTATCGAATTTTGTCGAAATAAATTAACATAAATGAACATATTTGTGATGTATCCTGTCTTCTTAAAATATATTTTGCTTATAACTTTTAATGGTAAAATGTGATCATCTTGATATTAATTAATTGTGAGACGTGCAAAATTTTAACACAGGACAATTTTAAATCATAATCGATATAAAGGAGACAATAAAAAATTTCTTTTAAACGATCATAAAATATTTGACGTACTATTTATTTTTCCTCTCTCTCTTCTCGCTCGTTTCGATCGCATTGTCCAAGATTTGAAATGGAGTGACTGCAAAGAAACGAAAAGGAGATGAACTGGTTTTCCGCCCGTTTGTGTTTATAGTCCAGGAGAATATTAATCGTGAAATATACGAAATATTCTGCGCTGAAATATGTGGAACGTAGCGTTTCATGTGCATCTTTCTTTTATGTGTTGACTAATGTTGTTACATCGAGCGTGGTCGAGCACGACAGACAATAAAAAGAAACGAGACATCGACATAATTGTAGTTTTTTTCTCGAAAATCCAATGTATATCGCATTTCGTGTTCGCGTTTCAAGGCCGAATGGTTTCATCGGACGAACATGTACTCGTCACATAGACATAGACTACGTTGACGCAGGTCGATCGCCAGAGACATCCGTACAGGCACGAGATGCGTGAATCGCGGCGATTCACTAGATTTGCCGGATAAGTTGTTAATGAAGATAAAAATCTAATTAGCTGGCCATAAACGAATACTGGGAATTTTTAAGACCGTCGCGTCGACATGTAGCCAGGCGCAAATTCATGAGCTTCCTCTACGCACGGTAAAAAGATTCTTTTCGATGCTGACGTCACGCGGATGAGAATGCGGTCAGTCCGGATGGGATACATGATAGTCCTAGAAGTATCGGACCAAGAGGCAATGTGATTAAAATATTCGCTGTAGACGATGGTCGTTTCTCGAAATTGTGCTCCTTACTCGTTATCTGTAGATTGTAGAAATTTAATCGATGTATAAAAACTCGAAAAAATTAAATTCTCACATAAATATCTCACATATATAGGTTTTGTTACTTTGACTTGTGCTTTTTACATATATATTTGATTGATTCGATTTGATGAAGATAAGTTAATAAAGATAAGGAAGTGATATTTAGGGAAATCGAACAATGTATTATAAATTAATAAAAGTTCTAAAAATCGTTGCATTATAATCGATATTTAAAAATAATTGCACTTGTATCTAGATCTTATTATACATTAAATACTTTTACTTAACGAATTTATAATAATATATATGTGACTTACGATATATTTTATTCAGTTATTA